GTATTTTTTAAACATTTGAATGAATTTTAAATTATGTTTAGGCGATCCTCAGAATCGGGAGTGCCCATCCTCCCCCCTCCCTATCCAAGGTCGATTGCGCATGAACATCCCTCCCACTCCCTCCCTCTAAAGATATTTTATGCTCTTCTCTTCTTAAAAACTATGCAAGCGGAAGTTCCATGTTTCCCCCTATTCCCTTGGTTTGAACCTTTTCATTTCGAAAATAATAACCTCGTGAAAATATCCCTCAAAAATTCAAACCCCATCAAAAAGCGCCCCTCTCAAAAATTTTGATTGCGACACGAAACCATATTCCGAGCACCCCTGTTCAGAAATGTTTCTAAAACTTAAAAATGGGCTAAGTGGCCCAAAACACATCAAATGAAAAAAGAAGACAAAAAATGTTTTGTGAATTAAATACTTTATTGAAATTTTCTTGAAATAATAAATTTACATGGAAAAAAAGAAATAATTTCAAAAGAAATTGTTATACCTGCCAACAATTTTATAAAAATGAAGTATTTAATATATGAAACAGAAACGTCCAATAAGTTACAAACAATTTCTTATTAATTTTCCAAATTTACCAGATTTTGATTAATTTATTTTTAAAAAAAATAAATTAAATTCAAGACAACAAAAAAAAAATTAATATTTTTTGAAATGTTAGAATTTTCCAGCAAAAAACAGATTTTAAAATAACAGAAAATGTTAAACAAAACAGAAAATAAATCATGAAAACCATGATATTTTCTAAACAATTCAACAATTCACTGGCTATAATTTTGTTTATAAGATTAGTTTAGATATAAATAAGAAAATGGAAGGAGATGGACCGGCGGTCATAAATAGGCTAAATAGTGGTAAAACTATTATATTAAAAGCCAACATTTCGACCCGACTTTGCAGGTCATCTTCAGGGAGATGTGTTCAGCTAGGAGTTTCACTTAGAGCTTAACTTAGAGTTGCACTTAGTTCTAAGTGAAACTCATAGCTGAACACACCTCCTTGAAGAAGAACTGCGAAGTCGGGTAGAAACGTTGGTTTTTAATAAAATAGTTTTACCACTATTTAGCCTATTTATGACTGCCACCCCGGACCATCTCCTTCCTTTATAATGCAACGGTCAACTATTAAATATTTAATAAATAAGAAAATATAACATTACAACCCATCATTATTTTGCAAGGAAGTATAGTTTCTTGGTCAATGGTGCAACAATGTGATTGACAGATATCATATTCAACTAAAAGATTTTTTTTCCTTAATTAATCTTTATTAAATACTACTCATATTATAGAGATTGGGTTTGACTTGAGATCCCCAAACCACAAGTTAATTCAACAGCTGACATAACAGAATAAATAATTACTTGCAACATCCAGGCTTGAATACAGGACACGGAGCATTGGAGTACAGCACCTTACTCACTGAGCTACCCTACGTCCTCTTTTTTTGGAAATAAAGAACCTATATACAGAAAAAAATATATTAGAAATGTAAATCTTTAAATTCTGGAACTCAGAACTAAAACGTCCTGACTAATTTTTTTATCTACACCAATCAAACCATATATAAAACTTAAAAACTATATGTATAGTTACTTTTGAAGCACTATGTTTTTCAAGGGCAATTATATACGGTGTTCTAAAGAAAATGAATTGCCCTTAGAATTTTTTCATATATTTAGGTCATTACAAACTTTCGTGCAAATCGGCTCATTTTCAAACTATCAACAAATTATGAAATATCTAACAAATTTCCATATTATATAATTGTATTCATGTCTACTTCCCGTACATTAATAAAACCAAACTTGATCTCAGCACTTTATTCGCATTTAATCAAATGTTTGTCAATTCCCAAAAACCGATACATACATAATAGAAAATTGATATACATTTTATTAAATGCGAATAAAATGCTGAAATCAAGTTTGATTTTATTATTGTACTGAAAGTAAACATTAATAAAATTATATAATTTGAAAATTTGTTAGATATGTCATAAATGGTTGATAGCTTGAAAATGAGCCAATTTGCACGAAACGTTGTAACGGCCTAAATAAAAGGAAAAATTCTAAAGGCAATTGATTTCCTCGAAGATACTCTCCCCTCCCCCTCTCACTCTCTCTCTCTCTCTCTCTCTCTATATATATATATATATATATATATATATATATATATATATATATATATTAATGAAATCATTACTTGGCTTCTCCTTCATGATGGAAATAAAAAACTGTACTTGCAATATTCATTACTCTGGCTTCTCCTTCACTGATGGGAAAAAAAACTGTACTTGCAATATTCAATATTGCATATAATCAAATATTAATTTAGCGATAGTTAGATAAATGTAAGACATTCTTACCACTAATATTGTAATCCTATCTATATTTAGTAAAATTAAACAACTAGCATCATTAATATTAACTCTTAAACTGTAATGAGGAGCAGAGCAGTGGACTGAATAGCTACTAAAGAATATGGTGGCTTGTAATTGAAATGGGCTCCAAATGACCAAAGAATTGCTACCACAATAAAGTTAAATTTCCATTAATTTTCCTACTCAAACATTTAAACAATATCAGTTCTAAAGAATAAACTACATTTAAGATTATTTTACCATAAAAAAAGTATTATATTTCTGATTTTTTAAGATAAAAAAATTTGAATACCAACCTTTGGTGTAACGAATTTCGAGGAGGGATTATTTCTTTCAGTACGCCAACATAAAAAAAAAAAAAAAAAAAAAAAAAAAAAAATTAATTTACAGGGATTGAATTTCTTTGCAATTATATAAAATTTAAAAAGTAATTATAATTAAAAAATATTAATATTTTATTAATCACTAAGTATTGTACTTAATATCATACCAAAATGAACACGCAATTATACAATTGAAAAACGGCCTGAATATAATAAATAAACTTTTATAAACAGTAATATATGTCTAAAATAAATATAGATATATAATACATTATATTTACTGTATTTAATTAAAACAAATAATGTCATTACATAATGTAACTATTAATTAATATACTGATTATTTTAAAATGTTTTAAATTAATTTTAAAATTTTATATTTAAATGATCATGATTCAAAAATAATTTTAGGCGTTAAGTATTGTTTGGGAATCGAAATGAAGGAACGTTACTCGTGAATCAGATCTTAACTCTGTTTGTGAAGCTGGTTTATTGAATTAAGGCACTTCCACCAAAACAACGGAACCTTCACCAGAGATATCTACATGCCAATATTTTTCTTTCAAATTAAATACAGTAGTTCTTTTCTGAGCTTATAACATATTTAATTCATAGTTATTTTAATTTAATTATTTTTATTGAAACATTAAAAATTAGGTATTAAAAATTATTTCTTGAACATTGTCGCATTTTTACTTAAGAGATATATTAAACATGATTTTATTATTATGTTCATCTAAATAATAATAATTAAAATTGCAAGATAGTCTGTTATAGACAAATACTCACACTAAATTGATTGGACTAAATAGTTTTTGTAGGCATTTTGCATTATTTTGGACATTTTCCTCATTGAAAAATACTTCATATCAACAAAATCTTGTTTAACCGTATCAGAGACGAAAAATTGTATACTATAATAAGAAATAAGCAGCGGATTAAGTGTTTAAATGTTTTTCTCTATTTTGAGAATACATATTATCCATATTATATAATATTTTCTCTTCCATAGTGCCACAGTTATAAAAGTTAATCCTCACAAAAGAAATTCATTGCATCTCCTAATGATTTTTTATTAATATCTAAAATATCTGTGAAACGACCGCAGATGTTCCTTTTCAATTATAATAAGGTACTCAATTATACGTCTTTCTTCAATTACGATTTTAAACTATCTAAGAAACGAACAAAAAAGTTTCCTTGGAATTTACAATATGGCATTGATTTTTAAATAAATCGATATTGCCAATTAAATTAATCATTTCTTAATGTGCACATGCCTTATATTCTATATCATTTCAGAATAAATGTACTGGATGAAATTATTTTAAATGAACCCACTACTTTGAACTTCAGACTCTACTTGTCTATGCAAGTTCAAACATAGTACTTCGTCCCTAGTACAGTCACATAATATCCCGAAGCACTTGACAACAATTATTAAAGTTATTCGTTATTGATTTCAAAGTTGATTTCAACTCCTGATGATTTTGTATTAATATCTAAAATATCTGAGAAACGACCGCAGAAGTTTCTTTGCAATTTACAATAAGGTGCTCAATTATTTGTCTTCTGTTTCTATGTGAACAGCCTAACTGAAAAATCGTATGACACAGAAATTATGCATTAACGGTATCTATAATAACCGGAAGTAGCACTTTTTATCATTGATTAGAATATTAATATATAAATGTATAACACAATATAACAGTTGGAAAAAAGAAAATTGATCTAATATATGAAGTCTAAGGAGCTAATTGAAACTGACCGAAAACTAATGACTAATAGTTTCTAGTTATATATATATATATATATATATATATATATATATATATATATATATATATATATATATATATATATATATTATTTAACGGGAATTAAATGTTTCCAAGGTAACTAGATGGATTCGAAGAAAGTAAATGCAAGATTTTAATATTTATTTTTAAACTTAAAACCAAAAACATAGCGAGCATCTCTCCGAAAGAATTGTTTTTGAACATTTTAACTACTATTCCAGAGATTATATATTATTTTAACCCTCCTACAACATTTTTAAAATAATCATTTCTGATGAATTCCATGTTAACAGCTACCTGTCTTCAAGAAAACATACAACTTTTCGAGAAAATAAAATACTTGAAAATTCTAATTTTGTCCTCCACTTTAGCGTTTCGTTCCCCTGTACCAGGGACTTGCTCCTCAACAACTTTATACTTATTTTAGTGCTTTGGATAAGTTCAGAAACTCTTTGGTAATAAGCTACAACCTTCAAGAGGTTTCCCCATTGTTATCAGTTGTATCGACGAAATGGCTTGTATAGAATGTTACCAGAGGTGTTGGGTGTGAATTATCAATGTACTGCCATACAGTAAGGAAATTGAAAGTTAGATATGCTCTTTTAGGGATCTTATTACTGGTTCTTATCAATTTGTGCCTTTTTTATAATATTTCCTCAGAGGTGAAACACACTGTTGTTCATCAAGTAAGTTGAAATTGAATTTTTGTACTGCATTTACTATTTATTCGAAGGAAAAGTTACTAACAGTAGAGCCTTTGTAGACTGAAAGTTCCCCAACACCGAAAGATGTTATCTCATATGCAAACACCACCTTCTTGGCTGCCAAAAAGATTGAAGAAGCCCTTCATGGTGCTTCCAGCTTCTTTAGCAATTACGACACTTCCAACTATGAACATAATTTACGATTATTAGAAATTACCAGCTCACATTCAAATATTACTTATCTTTGGGAAGTGGCTGCAAAGGTATAGCATACAATTTGTATGTTTTTGCTGTATGATATTGAATTAGATTTAGAAAGAAAATCATCATTTTTGTATTTTTTTTTTTAGTGGATAACAAAAGATCAGATAACTCCACCCTACTCACCTCTGTTATCGGCAATATTCAATGTTTTAGAAAATTGTAAAATAATTGGAGCTGATGTTACCAACAAAGGTACACAATTGAAGGTACTTTTAACCCTAGAGGGGAACCAGAAAGCCTTATTCAAGCCAAGATGGTTTGTATAAGTACTAATTATTAGTGAAAGCTTTCAATTTTTGTATAGTCCTATTAAATCTTTTATTATTTTTATGAATTATGTTTCTAGGTATGCCAGAAATCAAGTAATCGAAGGGAGTGTTTATGCTGGTAAAGATAGACATAATGGAGAGGTTGCTGCTTTTCATATCGCAAGACTGCTCGGACTGAATAGAGCGCCTATAGTTACTGGGAGGGTTGTTAATTTGAGGACAGAAATATTACCAGTATCCAGTCTAGCTCTTAATCAAACTTTTTTTAAGGAAGGTAAGACATTCAGAGCATAACAACACTATATGTTTAAACTAGATTATCTTAAATATGGCAGTATAACGAAAAAGCATTCTAAGTGTGAAAAACACATAAGTCTGTTTATAATAATAATAATAGATCAGTAGGCACATATGGATTTCTGTTTAAAATATTATATTTTTTGATCTCGCTTTTCCTCTATTGGCCTCGGAAATTTGCAACCTTTATTAACAATAGTTTACATATTTGTTTTTCTTGTACTACTTTTGATATATGGTTGTGGTTCATAAAATATAATAAATAAAGAAACCAGAATAGTGCTGACGTTTCTTAGAATGTATTTCCGTATTTTAATCAAGTATGCATTGTCATTATGATATCATATTTAGTATCAAGCAAGGTTTAAATTAATATGTTTAAATATTTTGTAAACACTAGAATTTTTTCAACTTGAGGGTTTCAGAATTTTACTGTATAAATATTGAATCTGTTAAAAATTCATAAAAAGCTATACTTGCTAAATTCTCTCAAAATATTCCATTATTTATTTTTCCAGAACATTGCTAGAATTTCAGCTATATACAATCAGGGGTATGAGAAATCATTCTATTTTTGTGATAATATTTAGAAAAGTGTGAAATGATAATTTTTGACCATAAAATTTTTCAAACTCTCATACTCAATGGTTTTATTTGTCTTTTCTTATGTTGGCAGACAAGACTTCATTAAAATGCCACGATCCTGTGGTAAAAATAGTAGATATTGATTTTTAGGTAGAGGTTTAATTATTTATTCTTGCTCTTAGAAATCTTGTCTGAAAACTGGAAGGGGCTAAAAGATTTGATTTTTTATAAGATTGGAACAATTAAATGTCCGTTTGAAGGGTATAATCCAAATGAAAGATAGTAAACTTGGACTATACTATATTTATTTAAAATAACTCGTGTTACTTTCAGTACATTTTTTCCAACCCCCAACAAAAATTTTTTATCCCTTGTTCGAAGAAACTTTTTGGTTTTAAACGAATAAACTCAAAAAATAAAAAAAATATCTGCTTTAAATTTTTGATTTTTTTTAGTAAATAGGTCAAGTACTCTGGGGCAAAAAATTGCACTCTGAAGCAAGAATTTAAAATTAATTTCTTCGGAATTGATTTTTTACTGTTTTATATGCTATTCTCTTGATAGCTTATTTAAAAACCAGTAACATGCCCCTACAAATCCTTATCTATTAGAGTTGTGGGTATGATCTCACTTGCTCTAATTAGAAATTAAAATAATATATGGTAAAGACATTATCAAATCAGAATAAAATTATAAAAACAGGTCATTAATCAATATATATAGAGATTTAAACCGGTCGTATGACTAACATAACAACAATAACAATTTTTTTTTTCACAAACTGCCAGAGAAATATTAACAGAAAAAAAATCTAGAATGTCTGGTAAGGAAGAATGCATGATATAAGACAGTGTAACCAGTGTGACTTAATTTTTAGATAGCTTATCAAGTGGCCTTCTGGAATCCAGTTACATTTTGTCTGAAAATTAATAATATGTGACAGTTGTTTAGTTCATCTGGTGTTGTATTTTTGTTGTGTCACTAACTAATTTTTACTCCTGTATATTTACTATCTACACCATGCTGCTTAGAAAGCTATCCAAAAATTCATTCATTTTAAACATACTGCAGGCATAGAATCTGTGACAATTGCTAATGTAAGAATGGCTCATGTTTTCAATTGATCAAAACCAGTGGTTAAAAACTTCCAATATAGTCACGTATCTAAACTCCTGTACAAAATGTATGCGTCATTTTATTTATGCTTAATTATCCTATATCTATAGTTTTTAAATGTATAAGAAAGTTTATAAAGATCAGTGTGTAACTGTAATTCAAACAGAATATGAACAATAATCTCAGTTTAATCATTTTATTCTCTGCTATGTTAAAATTAGTGTCAGAAGATTTTTTTACTATCAGTCTTAATATGGCTATAATTTCCTGACAGTATATTTTCTCCCATAGGAGTATTAATAACATTTTAATGACTTTAAACAAGAATTCAAGTTATCACAATTCTGAATGAGTTCTTACACTGTGTTAAAATCAATGTGCGTTTGTTTTGAGAATTTGTTTATCTCATCAGACTCTATGATGCTTAAAGGCCCCTACACACGAATTGTGAGAATATGTCTCGGCGATACGATATTCCCGTCTGCGGTGATATGGCCGTATTGTTATATTGCTATCTATTGCATTATAGTAGTCGCAAAGAGCACAATAATCCTCAGCAATACAGACAAAGGATATCTCATCACTGGGACATATGTTCTGCGTGAAAGGGCCTTAAAAGTATAGGTAACTAACATGTCAGAAGTGTATATCAAAAGCGAAGGGACTAAGGTCCAATAGATTAGAGCTTTGTTCATATTCAGGTCTTAAGGATCATATTGTAACCAGAAATTAACTTAAATGTCTAGTAATTAAAATGTTCCAGATGTAAATTTCCATTCGGTACATCAGAAGATTTACTGAAGCTAATTTAATTGCCAGAAATCCTGATTGTGTTCTTTTTTTTCGCTAGAGCATCTAAAAGAAGCCGAAAAATTTACTCATAGCACATCTATTAAAATTTAGAGAACTATAAGAAACGTATTCTTTGAACTGTTGATATAACCCCAGAGATTAGTTCGTTTGACTCCCCATAATAAATTAGTGGTTGTGCAAAGTAAATCTTTAAATGCTCTTAGGTGTATGGAATGCTCAGAGGAACTAAAAATTTTGTGTACCATTTACCCCACGTTGCCTCCTGAAATATGAAAATAAATGGCCACACAGAGCTCAGAGTATGGATGAGTACAATTAGGATGTTGAAGTCATATTCCTGGAATGTCCATTTAAAAATCTAGACTTTTATCTGACAAAGCATGTTAGGGTATTGTTTAAAGCCTCATGAATAAAACCAGTTAACATGGAAAGTTGGTAACAGTAGTTATTGAAGAGTAGAACAATTCTCCTCAGAAGTGGGTTAAGAATCTCTTTGAGGACATAGCGAATGATTGGCACAATGCTCATTTTTCATGTCATTGGCAGTAGCAAGGGCAGGTTAATTTTAATAGAAGTTATAGTGTTTATTATATTTGTTAATTTTGCATTTTTTTTTATTATTTAAATCAACTAAATATTGGATAACATTATCCTAAAATAAATGTATTTTTATCAATTCTGAATTAGTTGCTAAAATCTTAATGTAAATTAATGTATGTCACTGATTTGGCTCGAGCAAGATATCTATCCTTTCATGATAAATTTCAGTTTTATCCAAATCCACTTGTTTCCAGCCTTACTTCCTCCTCGATTCCTGATAATCCACCAACACGTCTGAAAATAAAATAGCCTCATAATCTTCTTACTTAAAACTATTTAGGCAGTGGTACCATTGGGTAGTATCTCAACAAGGCTGTTCATATCATTATTCCTAATTTGTGCATATTTACTGTTTATATTTATTTAATACAGTTGTAAATTCCAATAAATTAAAAAAAAGTATTTAGTTTGAAAAATAAATAATGCGCTATAAATTACCTAAATATACAAATGTCAAGTTGATGCATTAATTTGGCCAGGAATTTAGTTAGGTTTATTGTGGAGATACCATAATATTAATTAAACTAAGGAAATAGGGATTTTATTTAAATTGTTCATTCTCTGAGTACTTGGAATTCTAGTAACTATTTTTTTCTTTTAATAATCTTTTTATTTTATTTCATTGATCATCGAACTGTACCATTATTATCTTTTAAATTTAGTTACCTCATAGTTTTTCATATTTATGTTTTATGAATTTTTTTCAGGAAACAATACCTGCTTTTATGGAGTTTGTAGGTATTGTAAACGTGAGGATGCAGTTTGTGCTGAAGGTGATTTGCTTGAAGGTTCTATAACTTTATGGTTTCCAAATTCTTGGCAGTTAAAGAGGGTCCGCCATCCCTGGCAGAGGTCATACAGCAGCGCACCTGCACCGTAAGAAAATATTTGATAGATTTAATGAAATTATAGTTGATCAGCATATAGCTATTATCAACAGATCAGTTAATTATAAGCTATATTAGTCTAAAGCATCTCTAGTTATTTATTTTATTTTATATTATTGAATTTAAAAACCTACAGTTTTTAAGTACATCTACAAAGATTTCAGTAAATGATTTGATTTTGGCTTTTCTGTTTACAAACCATGAATATTTAATTAATGTATTAATCCAACTTAGAGTATAATTAAACTGATGGATAAAATTATCATTGATCAATTATCACACTTTTCATACTTAGATGGGAAGTGTACCGAGATTTCTGCCAAATCGTGAAGAGTGGGAAGAGCTACAGGGATGAATCTCGTCTCCTTGACTTGGTGGAGACTTCAGTTTTTGATTTCTTGATTGATAATGGAGACCGCCACCATTACGAGTTATTTTCAGTTGATTACTCATCTGTTCTTCTGATTGACAATGCTAAAAGGTAATCAATGTCTTTATCAAACATCTTTATATTGAATATTTAAATAATACATTGTTGGAACATGGCATAACAATTTTTATGAAAAGTGCTCATTTTTAAATTTTGGGACAACAGGTGCTAGGCAGCTAAATAGTTTGGTCACAGAAAAACAACAAGCATTTCCTGCCTTCAACATAAATTAATTTCCTCTTCAATTTCTTTTCTAGTTATTGTAGACCCTAGATACTTACACTTCTACATGTTCAAATATATATCCTTCTATATCGAAATTGTCATAGTTTTTGCAGCTAATGATATATTTTATCTTATCCGCGTTTATTTCAAGACCAAGTTATTTAACAGCTTTGATTAATGTTGTCGTATTTACTTTTATAATTTCTGTGTTTTCGCTTAACAGGACCAAATTATCAGCATAACCAATCACAGATATTTAACCCTGATTCAAACCTTTTTCAGTACACATTGCCTCCGTAGTTTCCCTGATATATGTGAAAAATTGATTGAGTCAACTTCTGGGTGCTCCCCTCCTACCTCTCGCTCACCTCCTAGGAGTGCGGACTTTTAGAAGGTTTACCTCCTAACTTGACTAAAATTATGTTCCTTCAATTTCCCTCTATAATCATTCATTGACTGGTCTATTAGTAGTATGTTCCTCTTTCTTAGGAATAAATGCTTAAGAGGAATATAGAAGGCTCCATTATTGAAGCAGTAACAGTAGTTTGGAATAAGTGCAATCAGTTTATTTTTAAAATAATTGTTTTACTGAAGCAGAACATCAGTAAAAAGTTAAAACTTGTCTCATATTGACATTTTATAATCTTCAGTGAGACATGAAAGTGGGATTTGAAATATAATCGATTAAATTTTTCTTTTTTTGTCCACCCCTACCTCGCCTTTTATGAGGGTGGGAGATTAATGCCAAAGCTAAAAGCCCCCTTGGCACCAGGATGCGGACTCGTAATTATTTTATATCTTATTTTATAAATTAATTATTTTATATAAACTTCAGTTTAAAGATCAAATGGTTGCCCGCTCTCATGCACACGTGTTAGTCTGCTTCGCCTCCAAATAAATGTTTTGAAAGAATATTTCAATGCTTTAGTCCACATTTGTCTTGGCTAGAAGAAGAGACTAGTGAACACTGCATGCACTAATCCCTCAACAGAGATATGTATTTATGTTTTTCCTAGGCAACTCTGGAGTAGCATTTAAAAACTAGAAAATCATAAAGGAGTAACATAAAACTGTAAGTATTTTGAAAAACTGTTTCTGAAAGTCCCACTAACAGAAAATAATGAAAGAAAAATGGTCCTAACAGTGGATAAACACTGATACAGCTGTACAGAAGATATTGAATAGATAAAACTAAATAAATATACTAGAACTGATTTCTTTGTGGCTCACTATACCTCAGCTTCAGGAATCACTTGTGGTTGATTTGATGTTTAGAGTTTGCACTTCGTAAAGAACAACTTTTACTAGTTCAGGGATTTAGTGAGATGACAATCCACTTATCTCAAGAAGGCGTGTGCCCCGCAACCTTGCTACAGTTCAATGTGCGTAACTATAGGGCAGAATGGCTGAGCGTGCTGATGTGTGTGCAAAACATGCGTTGTCCCGAGCAACCTGTGATAAACCAAAGTTTATGAGTTCAAATCCTGGTGCCGAGTGGCTTTTAACTCTGGCATTAATCTTCTGCCCCCACCTCAATGCCGGGGAAAACCCCGTATAGCCTAAAAGGTGAGGCAGGAGAGAGAAAAAAAGTACAGTATACTTAAGGTTAAAAATCAGATATCTTTATTAATTGTTCCTTACGCTTCAAGAAAGCAGTTATATAACACAAACCAACATTCTTTCAATTAGTTTTACTAGTCATTAATGTATATATTGTTAATGTTTGTATTATTTTTTGTACAATTTTTTTTTACTTATATTTATTTTTTTAGTTTTGGGAATCCTGATGTTGACCACATTGATATTCTTGCTCCTCTTTATCAGTGTTGCAGGTAATAATGGAAAATATATATTTTATTAATTATTGAAAGTTGAAACCCAGAGAGATAACAAATATTTTTTAAGATATTACTTTAAGATTTTAAAACAAAGCCTTTAGTCTCTAAAATACTAACAAATCGCTAATATGTAAGTAGATATTTTACTAATTTAGATATTATTGGGACAGAAAAAAATACAATCAGATAAAGAAATGCACATTTGTCCTTTTTAACTAATGTTGACCTTTGGGCTTTGTATTGTGCTTAAGGCTTTGTATTGAATCTTTCAATAATGCCCCATCTATAATTCATTATTAAGTTTTAATTTTTTGAATCACTGTTTCATTGTCACTTAAAGAATATCTAAATAAAATAAATGATTTTTAAAGATTTTGATGTTATCTTGTTTTTTTATTGATAAGTCTTATTGATAAATCTTAATTAGATGAAACTGTAGAGTTTCAAAAAGAATTTGTGTTTAGATTTGCTTTATATTATCTTCTAATGCGATGGTTCTCAAAGTTTTTGACTGGTGATACACTGAAATTACTTAACAAAATTCATGACACCTTTATTATTTTTAATGATGAATGAACAAATATGCCATTCAAACAAAAAAAATATAAACATAATTATCAAAATGGATGGCTTCATAATATTTATGAGTAATATATCTCTCGTCCATCGTTTACGCTTCCGGTACTTTAGTTCAAACTTCATCAGTCATCGGTTAGAGATGACGCAACAATTCATCTCCCCCGTCCCTTGCTACCATATCTTCACTCTACTCCAGCAACCTCTTGGAGCAAGTTGGTTTTCTTTTTCTTCCTTATTTCAGCCTTCTCGTTTTTTTTCCTCCTTCCTTTCATTCCTTTTTTCTGTTTTAACTCTTTATTATATTATTCGTTGTCAGTACATCTTGATAGACTTTACAATATCTCAATTTTCTATCTAACTATTCTATTTAAAATATCTTAATTTTCCTATTTATTTTTATTTCGTATATAACTTCATATTCCTTTTTTCTATTTTACATTTTATTCTAAGATTACCATTTTAGTACTTATGTCACCTTACTTTGATTATGTTTACTTATTCCACACTTTGTAACGGTTATTATTATTTATTTCTTAGTTCTTATTATTGTCATTATTCTACCCACTTCATTTTACTTTCATTTTTTTTACCTACATTGATTATGTTTCTCATAGCTTGTTATCTGGTTCTTTTCTTAATCCTGATGAAGGCCTGAACATCAGGTCGAAACGTCGGCAAATGTTAAAATAAATATTATTATTTATTTTGCCTTTTTTTTTCTGACTGATCATCCCAACCATCCTTTTCTTCATTATTCACGACAGTCAACCATCAATGCACAATTAAAAATATACTTATTTATTTTCACATTTTTTTGACTGATCATCCCAACCAATCTTCTCTTCAATTAAAATTGTTATCCATAAAATTATTTATCAATATAAATTTATAATTTCTAGGAACACTTAAAAAAATCTTTTTTTTTTCTTTTGTCTAGCTATAAATGAAATATAGAAAGGAAAAATATTACAATTGTGAAAAATTCCAAGTTGACTTTTCAACGGATATACATATTTTGAGGTCACCTGACTCCAAATAACCAAGTCTCGCAAAGTGCAAAATTGTGTGAACATTTATCATTTTAAAAAATTGATTTGAAATAATTATTCGTATTGTATAGTTAATGCCTTTTATATACACCATTTTATTTTTTAGATTTGTGTGTTTCTTTATTTGATTTGAATCTTCTCTAATCTTATCTTATAATTATTTCATCAATAGGGACATTTGTGAATAGTTCTTTAACATCAAAAAGTACTTAAATTGTTCTGAATGTTTTGACCATGATAATAGATTTAAATAATTAAATATTGAGTGCACTATTTGAGCAGGAAGTCAATGATTAAATAGGCTGATAAGTGAAAGTTTTTTGATGCAGCCATACCATATTTGTTTTTTAATTATTAATATTATGAACTATTTTCCATATTTATTGTTTAATATATTTAAATTTTGAAAACCATTTGTGTATTAATTTTTTTGTTTTCTATTTTATTTAGAATTCGAGAAAAATTAGTGGCGAGACTTGTTGTTCTGAAGGATGGTGCCTTGAGTTCATGGTTAAAGAAGCTGTTGAAGAACCACATACTAACTCCTGTATTGTACGACAAGCATTATAAAGCTTTAAATAGGAGACTGAGTATTGTCTTAGCCGCCATTTTTGTCTGTTTCCAAGACAACGGCCGGGAAGCTGTCTTAGTCTCTGATGATTGACTGTTATTTTTTTTCCTATTAGCGCTTTGATCAATTATTCTTCAAATCCTCCCATATCACAATAATTTATTTTATATAGCTGTAGATAATTTATTATAAAAGTGCTCAATATTTTATATTTAGCTTTATGATAAGGAAATTTATAAATTAGGGACCAATGTGGGTAACTACCCTCGAGTAAAGTCTTAGATGTTTAATTTATTTATTTTTATTGAATTGTTTTCAGTCGGCATTGCACTATCAGAGTTTTCTTTGGAATTCTTTAGGTGTAATTATTATTCTTAGCTATGATTTTTATGTTATCAATTTTTTTTTTGTCCTAGTGTGTTTCATTATGTCACTCATTAAGTACAATTACAAAGATTCTAGAAATATTTTTAACAATGGTTCTTCGTGACAGCTGTATGATTACAAAATCCTGATCTTTCCAAGCTCAATATTCTCCTGTTGCTCATCTGTTAATCACTTCTTTAGCAGATTCCTCTCTTTTTACTTATGATTGTTATATGAAAAGAAATTTTGATTTAAAGTAATTGCAAAGGTGGGTCATAGTTCAAAACATGTCTTTACGGATTCTAATGAACAAAAAATACATTGAATCTAATGCTTGTTGTTGATTCAAATTAAAGCAGTATTACATTGCACTCTTTCCCGACTGGACAATAACCATCTTCTCTTTAATTTATCATAAATATTCTTGTGTCCTCTTATGTATTAGTTCAGAGTTTTGAAGGACATAAATACACTGTGGAACTTATGAAGGTCAAAACTTCGGTACACATTAAAATAAATTTATACTTATCATCGTGTTTTTCTTCTCTGACTGGTCAGTCAAACCGATTTCTCTTTGTATTATTCGTACAGTCAATAATTTCTCCACCATTATTTTATATTATTTTCTAGTTAGTTCCTCACAGAGATCAGAGATATTACAACAGTAATTTTCATGTGACATTTTATAAATCCTTTCTCTTGACTTCTTAGCCAAGTCAGATTCTTTTGAAATCAATATGAAACTTATCATTCATACATTGGGTAATTTTTAAAAGAAATACAATATTTTTTTTCTAAATTTTTCTTCTACTCCAAGTCTGTTCGACAAAGGTTTATCAGAATATTTTAAATCTATATCATGAAAAGTTTTTAAATAACTTATTACATCTGAAAATTTTGAAACTTTTAAGTTAAATGTTCTTTCTAAAAAATCATTCCCTGGGTGATATTTTAATTAATTCTTTAAGCAGAACAATGTGCTATAACTAGGGTTTTTAAAAGTTTATGTTCTTTTGTTAAGCCAATATTGTTAATTATATAGTAGTTGATCTGCTGTTAATTGTAAATATATTAGTGTTAAGAAGATTAACTTTTCAATTCTGGTAGGAAGTATAAAAATAAAACCAATGTATTTTAATGTGAAATAAGTTCTTAATTTTAAAGATCTAATAAAATAAAACTAATGTAAACACATTTATACTTTGTGTTTATTGAATGGTTTGAAGTTCTGTAAATATTCCAAAGTATTGGAGGATTAGGATTGTTATAAATTATTTTTACTATCAGATTATATATGTAATTGAGATATTTGAATAACTTCTTTTAAAGAAACATTCAAACTTAGTTAACACATAAAATTCTTATCATGCTAATACTATGAAGATATGAACTTCATCGTTACATGTTTCTTGTCTATTTTTTTTTTTTTTTTTATTATTATATATTTGAATGATCCCTTTTTGTTAAAATTAATTTATTCATTCACAGTGAGGATAGATAAGAAGTTTTGTATAGCATAATTTTATTGTAATTACAACGTTGGAATGAAGATAATATTGATTTCTGTAAAATAAAATATTGTTAGACTTACATTTAAATGTATGTATCTCATTAGATATTTTAACTAATCAAATTGTGTAAAGAGCTGTGGTGATATAATGCCGTCCTTTAGAAAAAATATTTTGATAGTTACGACTTATTCTTGAGATAAATTTGTTCTTTCTCAAAAGTTAAGAAATTAGATTTAAATTTTGTCCTATTCTTTTTAAATCAGAAAATTTCTCTGTAATTTTATGACAAATTTCATCATATTTATTTCAAATTCGTTGCACTTTTGCCTTTTTGTAAATATTGAAAAATTAATTAAATTAGGGAATGTCTAGTCATTTTTAGATAAATATCATTTTGAAGCTCAATTGTTGCTTATTTTTACGAAAGAGCACGTCTTAGACTTTTTAGTAATTGAATTTTTTTTTTTTATTCTGTTTCCTCATTGCTTGTATTTATATTTAAGATGAATTTCATCAAAATAAGGCTAGAGAATGAAACAATCTCTAATATGTAAGTACTCCTCAGCAGTTTTATGCCCTGTTTTAATATTTTATACTACTTGGCAGAAAACAAACTTTTGCTTGGATTTTTAAAACTTTGTGATAATAGAGTCAATCTGTGGCTCACTTTCATGTATTTTTGTACCTTTCTCATTTTATATGTGGCTTATATATTATTTGAATATTTGAAAAATGTGATATTCTTATTATATATTGCTGTTTTATGATGATTTATGCATTTATTATAGCTTTTGTTATGAGTTCATTAAGGGGTACCCAGATGGTTCATATTTATTGTCTGTTTCATATTGTCAATTGTGTGTTGACATTTTTCAAACTGTATTAACTATTGGTATTTATTAAGAGTTTATTGAAATTCAGAATTTAAATTGAAACCAGTGAATGGGAGAGTTAAATGAGTAAAAGACACTGTACTGCATTGCCCCTTGAGGATTCAAATCCATCTTATGTGTCTTAAAATGTAATGAAATCAAATTTGAATTTATAATAATGAAAATCATTGTGATAATTTAAAAAAAAATCAAAGTTGTAAAAAAATTGTTATGGCATTTTTCTATTATGTAATTTTTAGAAAACAAAGTATTTTTGAAGATTGTCTTAGTCATAATTTACATTAATTATAGTTATTGATATTATACCATTTTTTAAAAATTATTTCTGCTGTTATGAATTCTCATTACATGTTTTTATTTTTAACATGAAATTATTCTGCTTTTGTTATCTTTTCTGATAGGTTCCTTTATAAATAAATAAACACTGAATTTAAATATAGGAAGCTTTATTACTTAACCACTCTTTTATTCTTATAGTTATAATAACATTACGACTAGTTCTCAAACTATTTTAATTTTTATTATTGATTGAATAAAGTTATTCCATATATTTTTCATAAATAACCATTTATTTAAAATGTTTTATCCTGCAACTAGTCGCTATTGCGAATTTTCGTAAGAAGGATTAAAAGATCATCATATTATTTTTTTACAATTCTTTATTAGCTTGACATTTCGAGCTTTTTTTGACTAATTTCAATCAAAATCTGCCAACTTAATATTTAGTAGTTTGATTATCATGTTGCGAACATTGCGCACCTTATTATTCATTTAATTATTGTGTTTAAAGTTATCTTATTAAAGTCTACCACTCTACAGATGTTAGTCAAATAAATTTAATATGATTTTGTTCCTTGTCTAACCAGTAACACCCAAAACATTAATTATTTAATGTAATTTAATTATCTGGAGTTGTAGATTAGTTACAGGGTGGACATCAAGGAATAAAAAACATATTAAATTGATTTGGCTAACATCTACGGTATGAGATATTTAAACACAATAATTTAATATATAATGAGGAAAAAATATATAATAATATACAAAGATAGAAATGTGGGCTTTAGAGCCTCACAGATCTGTTGCCTTCTAATTTTAATTGAATAAAAAAAATGAAAGAAACATGAAATGAAAATAATATAAAACTAACTAAAATATATAAATATATATTTACAGAAATATATATTTACAATTTTATGGGGAGTGGATGGATATAAAGTGATTGAACAGATGGGATTAAAGGTAGGAAGGGTATTGAAGCGACTGATGTAGGAAGGGATGGAGCTATGGGACTCGATGTTAAGGATCGAATAATGAAATATCTGTTGAAAGCAGCGGATTTGGTGAGCCATTTTACATAAATCTGAAGACCGGGAACAGATATTGTGGGAATGAACAGTGGATTTGAATTGAAGGAGTTCGGAGATGTGTGAGGGATGGCGAGTATGAATGACTTGTAAGAGGAAGGATTCTTGGAAGTACAATGGTAGGAAAGATAAAGCTACTTCAACTCTGTATAAAAATAGAAAACAGAGGTGTCCCTGGGGATGCCAAAGATGAATCGTTCAACATAATTTATCAAACATTTTAGTTTCGCCTCAAGATCCACAGACAATTCCATATACCTTGCAGCAACAGTCAAAGTGGAGAAATATCATGGAAGTGACCAAAGCTACGGTTTTCTAAAATAAAAAGGTGACAGAGGTAATTTAGACGTTTGTATACAACATCTGTCATAATATAGTAATAAAATTATTAAATAATATGTTGGCGCTTTTGAAATTGGGCAATAACAGCTTGAAACATCAAGCTAATAAAGAATGATAGAATATAATGATATGAAGAGCTTAATCCTTCCTATGAAAATTTGCAAACATTTTTTTTAATTAATTGCAGAAAATCTGAATCAATCTACTCAGTTTATTGATAATAAAATATTTTTTAAAGAAAAAGAACAAAAATGATTTTAAAAATGAGTTTTCCTTTCAAATCTTGCTGAAGAATTTTATTAATTGTACCAAATTAAATATTATACCAAAAATATTAGTTGTATTATTTAGCAATTTTGTGTACAGGTACAATGTCTTCAACACCATACAACCTGGAAAATAATGTAAAGAATTATGTATATTATTAGAAAAAATATAATAATTATTTAGTCTATCTTTGTTGTTGATAAGCTTGAGTGAATGAATAATCTTGTTTTATTTAGCTATTACTGAAGTTTTGATTCATATTTATGGAATGAATGCATGAAAAAATAATTATTAACTTAAAAATAATATTTAAGTTCGAACCACCACCAAGAGTGGGTAGCTCATTGAGTAAGACACTATGCTCTATTATCAAAGACAATGTATGAGTCCTCGAGTATATATCAATCCGTACCCCATTCTGTTATATGAAGTACAGAATAATCTTTATTCTAAAACAGATTGTCTCCTAAAATTAAAATCAACATAATAATTAAAAATTACTTGATGCTGAAAGCAGTTATGTGATTTAACTCGGTTGTTTGTGATATTGTTAGGAGTAGATAGAGAAATAAAAAGTGAAGAATATGAGAATATAAGATTTTTTGAGGACAAAAAGGAAACAGGAAAATACTGCTTTAAGTGGAACAGAGCTTTATTTGTCTGATAAAATTACCAGTTATATGTAAAACAATCAAATTTATTTATTATTACCTCTAAAAGAACAATAATTGCATGATATAATTTATTCAGTTTGATAGTAAATAAATTCA